CATGGATCTGTAATATCCGCCACATATGCCGTGTAATGGTAGGCGGCGCTTCCAAACGTGATGTTCACGTTTATTTTCCCGTCGATGTCGATCTTCTCACCGGACACAGTCTGTAGGATAACGCAGGGCGGCGTTCAGATAAGTTTGCTTCCCAGTTGTTGAGCCAAATCTTTTCGGATGATGGCAACGTTGGCTCCTGTATCTATAGTCATATTGCAGGGAACTACATTAATATGTCCTATAATGAAGTCCATTACTGCCGCCTCTCACGGCAGAAATCTGAAGCGCTTTAAACTGGGGCTTTTCATTATCTGGCAACCTCCGCCCCGCGAGATGGCCACTAATTAGTTTCCCTGCTGCTTGCAAGGAGCGGCCTTACCATCCGTGCCCTGGGGTGTTCTGCAGTTTCATCGTATGTGCCCTTTAGCACCGCAGTTCCAGCGTTTTATGGTCGGTTTCTTGTCACCAATATTCCGTCTCGAGGCATTCAATTGTCTAGTTAAATCGTTTAGACGAGCAGCGACTTGATCCCCTGGCTGCTGGACTTGAGCAGCTCTGACTGGCTGGCGGTCTCGACGAGTGGCTTGCTGGGGTGCCTCGAATTTCATGGCGTACACTAGAGCGCTTTTCAAATCTTTAACATCCGCCATTCGCAGAGTTTTCTGTATTTCAGAGCCCCGGATGCCGTCGATGAAGTATTGCAGAGACAAGATTTCCCTTGTTTCTGTCGGGCACTCCGAAAAGGCGAGATGGATAGCCTTTCAACATCTGTGGCGAGTTCCTTGAGTATTTCCGTGGGCTTCTGTTGGCGGGATTTTAATTGAAGCCTACTGTGGTCTTTTAAACACTTTTCCCCAAAGCGCAGCTCCAACTTTGCCGGACAACTTGTGCCGGACAGAGCTTCGAAATCTAGTCTTTTGTTTTCGGGAAGAGTCTGAAGGATATCCGCTGCGTCTGCTCTCAAAGAAGAGGCGAGATGACAGGCCTTAACCTGGAGATCCCATCCATTTGCTTCCACAACAATACAGAACTGTGTCTTATATACTTGCCAAGAGGTCTTCCCATCATATGTCGATAGCTTCAGAGAGGAACGAGCAGGCATGGGTAGAAATTTTAAACCATCCGAATTGCTCCATGCCGTCGCTACGAATTTCTTTAAATTATCAACTTCTCTGGCAATTGCAGAAACCCTGTCATCAATTTGTTGTTCGATATGTTCTTGGACGACAGATACTTTTTCTTCCATTTGTTGTTCCACCGCAGAAACTCTTTCTTGAATTTCTCCAACTTTGTCTTCAACTGTATCTATTCTTCTTTCCATAGCCTCGAACTTTTTTTCTGCTATGCAAGTAATTTCTCTCTTCATTTCCTCTTGACATACTTTCATTTCCTCTTTAACAGCTTTCATCTCTCTTTTAACGGATTCTTCTATCTTTTCCTGACCAGGAATCATCTCCCCTTTTAACAGAATCTTTCATCTGTTCTTTAAATGATGCTTGGCCAACTTCCATCTTTTCTTGGAATGCAGCAAAAGCAGTAATAAGCTGCCTCAATTGTTCCTCCATCGCTCTAGTAATTGGCGTTAAAAAATCCCACTTCTGACACCAAAAATTGTTGCGTGCGCATGGGTTCGTTTGAATTGAATGCACAAGTCCGATGAAAAATGGACAAAATTTTATTATTATCACAACAAAAATGCTTAAATTCCCTCAGATATTCTTTCAGTATTAGAATATCTCACAGTAGTTATCTTTTAACTACTCAAACGTTCAACAGAAGTTAATTCAAAACAGCTAAAGAAAGCTAATCCGCGAATTCGCTACAATCAACGAGCAGTTTTCTAAACAAACTAACTAATCATCGAATTGAGAGGTTTTCCTCCTTTTTATATGATTTTAATTCGAGTGCGAGAATTTTCTGGAACTTTCTCGAAATCAAAAAGAGATATTTATTTATTTATTAAATGTTAAATCCACGTGCTCTTGTATTTATAATTTTTCCGGTTTAACTTTCTCATAATATTCGTCACGCGCTGCATTGCACAGGGAATAAAACAATTTAATTTATAATTCTACTAACATTAACTATTTAAATGCCAAATTCGTAACAATATTATAAATATGGCTACTCGTTGAAACGAAACACTGATGCAATGGAATCAGGTAGTTGACTTCAGGGTCTGTTCTCAATAGAACAAATGGCTATGTGATATTTACCTCATGCACAATACATACACAGGGCCAGTTCCCTTCAAAAGTCCTCCACAGATGCAACTCTCCAGTAAATAAATAGCCATAGTGTGATTTGTCATAATTAAATAATACAATCCATCATAAATTTATCATAAACATTTCTTTATTTCAAACTATGCAATATTTATTGATTTTTTTAAAAACAAATCTAAAAAGATAAACAGGTATAGGGTGAAGCAAAGCTGGCACCTGTGCATTCCCATACACATATATTAGGTACCACTAGGCCTTGCTTTCAAGTTTCTGCCCTAGTTCTGAAGAAGAGTAACTCTGGAGGAGGGTCTGAGAGCTTCCTACCCCTTTTCTCCTACAACCAATCAGCTACTTAAACGACATTTGGCTCGCCATGTAGTTTGAGTGCCCTTTACCGCACAAATACCATTCACTTAAACATTCATACCTTCTCCAATATATTTGAAACCAGGCCCAGTGGTATGGCAGTCAGTGTTACTAAACACTGTGCTGTTCGACTAGCTGAACAGATGAATAATAATAGCAGCAAATTTTTCATATTTTGAATAAGGGAAAGCATTTAAATACTTAATGGAAATCAAAGCAATGCCAATAATATTGAATAAAGATGTTCATTTAAAATGTCTTGGTAAGTTGGCAATCAAAATTTGAAAATGTGGGTTACCGTAAACAAAGTAAAATGAACATAGAGTACATTATCGTGTGTTCATCACATCTTACTTGACCAAGTGCCAACTATAAATGCACTCATAAAAAGTGCAACAGTTTTTTTTAACCTTTTCTTTAAATCCTCTTAAATTCATAAATATGCTTTTAATTTTCTCTAGTTTGTGAAATCCATGGCATTATGATAAAATTTATTACCTTTAAAAAGCAGCTTAGCTGTACTGCTGCATATTAGCTAACTGTTGAGAACCTCATTAAGTTGACAAGAGAACATATCCGCTAAGCAGTTAAGTACTGTTTATGGATGAGTCTCACTATACTTAACAATGAAATTTGCACTAAATCACAGCCAGGACATTAAAAAAGGACAATAAATCCAACATTGCGAAAAATGGCAGTGACAGATAGGACAACATTCTGAATCATGCAAGAATCCCTTTGGGTGACCAAGCTGATTTCCATAATGAATTTAGAAAAGTTCTCGGACAATTCAGCTAAGTTCAGGATAGAGAATTCTTTTTTAATAGTTGGAAAAATTCTGTATAGTTAACAGTCATTTTCAAGTCAAATCTCCTACGTTATTCTATCAATGAACTAATCAACTCTTTCACTAGAACTCAAATCCATTCTTCTTTTTGCTTTGTCAATCCTTCCCAGTTCATTAGCACCCGAGATCTCATATCCAAACTAAGATATCTGGTAATATAATTGATCATATGAAATGGACGTACTTAGTATGCATTCAGATTAGCCGAATCCAAGAATGTATCATTATAATTTTTTTTTTTCAAAACCAGATAAAAATAAATCTTAAACTGAAAACTAATATCAATCTTGTCTAACTTAAAATTTCAACTCAGCAAGTTTCTCTTCTGTAGAGATATGTATACACAGTTTCGGGGGGGGGGACTATTTTTACATTTTATTCTTAGTTTCCACAAGGTATATAGAACACAGAAGAAATATAAAGCTAATATCTCTTGCTTTGACCAAATGCCAAATCTTATCAAGGGTGGAATACCTTTGTGAAAAACTTTCTAAGAAAAACTACCTCATAGTTACATCAGACAAGGAGAAAAATTGGGAGGGATGAACAGAAACAAGTAAAATCTACATTGTTAAGATGAAATTATTTTTCTCTGAGTAAAGAAAAAATACAATTGAAAATCTACATTGTTAAACTGAAAATACGTTTTTTCTGCGTAGAAAAATATTACAAACATCTATACCACTAAAAAAAATTTGACTCCCCAAAACAGATGTTCCTCACTTTATGAGACAGTAATTGTTATGGTCCTCAGAATGTTACTATGTTAATTACATATACCTTCTAACAATGTTTGAGATAAGAGCTATAAATATAATCTATTAAAAAATTAAAAATTTTAAAACAAATAAATGATGCATTTAAAATTTGAAACATAGTATGTTATAAATAAATGATGCATTTAAAATTTGAAGCATAGTTTTTTATAAATTAACAAAATTATTTTAACTATGCAGTACATACTTTGCACTGTCATCTTTGAGGCATGAGTGGATGGAGTGAGAATAAGGCTAGTAGAACCATACAATGAGAGTCAGTATCTGATTCACCCGTGGAAGACTTAACAACTAAAGGGGACATATGTGATGAGAAGGCTGTATGAGAGGTGGCAGAAGTTTGCAAGTTAAATGGGATAACAGTGATTTCTGAAGTGTCCTTAAGAAAATATGTGCATAAACGTATCTAAATAGATTTTCCTTTTTCCCATGATAGCACATATAGTATGCTATCATAGGAAAAAATAGCACTGTATGTGCAACCCTTTATTTTCTTTTCGATTCCGAATGAATTTCACTCTTTAAGAACAGGTTTGTTTGGACCTATTAAGTTACTAAAGTGCGGAATTTTTGTACTGAGTATTTAAGGGTTTATTATGAGCTGTTGCATAAAAAATTCATTCAATCTTCTAGCTAAATTGAAGCAAATGACTATTCAATCATACATTATACAAAAACCATTCCTTAGTTTAAAATAAGAAGACATTACACTGCTAATTTAGTAGCAAAAATTAATATTCTTCTCTTTAATCATTATATTGTCTGAATTTTATTTACTATTTGCAGCTCAGAGCACAAGCTGAATATGAAGTGAAGAAACTGAGACAGGATCTTCTTCACAAAAAAACACAAGTTACGTTAACAAGGAAGCAAACATCTTTCCCACAACCTTCTGAACAGTTCTTCATTAGTGCTGTTTGAAATGGGAAAGAAAGGCAACTTTTCACTGAATACTGCTGTTAAGTGACGATTATCGAGCTTCCACAGGATGTTTTTGCTGAGAACTGAAAAGCAAGATCCAGCAAATTTATTACCTAAGAATGATTCTGCTGAACTAAAATAAATTTCTATTCAGATAAAGAAAGGATTAATCAGATAAAAGTTGAATATTATATCATTGCTGCCAGCCTTGAAATATGAAAAACAAAGAGTTTTGGGGAGGTTTCTCATGCTGCCATTTCAAAAGAACTCTGCTTAATGCATAATTCAGGTTACGAAAATGCATATAAATGATTCTGATGCAGAATATATCAACATTAGATAGCTATTCTGTATTTTATATTCTTTGGCTAATTTCATTTTCTAAACTTTAACTATTTCAAATGTTAACCACAGATCCATGAGAACAATCAGGTGACTAATCACTCTATCTTATCATTTAAGTAAAGTAACTCCAGCACAAAAGTAGCATTATTATTTCATCAGCCTAACAGCTACACAACCTGTGTAATAACAAAGAGTAAACTCTCAGCTTGAAAAAATGACAGTAATAAAGTTAAGGCAAAATAATAAGATTATAAGACAAAATGCAACTAAAGCATTTAGCTGAGTTCTCAACTTGAGTAATTACAGTTAGCCATGCTTAAGCTATAACAAGTAATTCAGACCTAGGAAGAAACACAATGAGACTGTCAACAATAACTCTCATAAGCTCTTTCTCAATCTCAGGTACTCTGTATTTAAATACTAGTTAATGTATTTAAATACATTAACTAGCTTGCATTCTGGTGGGAGCCCATGAAAGCAAGAGTACCTGTAAGGGCACACTAATAAGATAACTAGTCAATAAACATAAAACCTTATTATTTTCTTACACTTTTATTTTCCAAAAAGTTTGAGAAGGGGGAGGGAAATCATAAATAAAAGTGCTTTTAAATGTGATGAAATAAGATTAAAATTAATGCACATACTATTGCATGAATATACTTAGTAATGTATCTTTTACTGACGTAAAAAGGTTAATGTATTAATGATGAAAAATTACTGAAGTAATCTGACTGATTAAACATTATCTTCATAAAAAGCTCTATGTATGTTTACAGAAGATTAAGACAACTAAGAGCAAGTAAAATTTAATAAGAAAAATTATACTAAAAATCACTGGGGTTTAGGTGGGATGGAATTAGCTATTTTAAGTTTCATTTATTGATGGGAAAAATTTTCCTTTGTAAAGGCTAAAATTTAAAAACTGGGAGATCAATGATCTGCCGGGAGACTGGGAAAAGCAATAATACAGCAGGAGTCTCTTTGTTTTACCAGGTTATTTGGCAGCTTTGTTACATACACTGATTTGGTGTTTTGACCGATTCCTTTATGAGAAAATAATTAAAAACATTTTTATAAATTTAAAATTAGAAATGCATCTCTGAAATCAATGCACATAAAATTAATATGATTTTTGTACAGGAAACTATCACAGAAATGTACTTAAAAAAGTAGGAAAAAGTAAGTAAGAGAAAAGAAATTAAGTTTTCATGTTGTTTAAAACTAGTTACAAAAAGAGGGTAAAAAAGATTTGCTACTATATTCAGGATAAAATGCGACTCTATTGGAAATGTGATTTATAATTTAAAGAAAATATTCATGCCCATATAAAGAGCTGCACTGTATATAAAAATCGCATGTGTATGAATATCTTCATTTACTAGATTATAAGAATTTTTATATTATTCTCCTTATTACTAAAATTTTTCTACAGTACAAAACAGATACACAGTATCGATAGGAGTTCTTAGCTGGCCTTTATTTCTGCAACTGTTGGTCACAGACATATATTTCCAACAATAAAAAAGGTTAAATGACACAAATATTCAAGTTGCCATTTTCAAATCTGAAACAATTATATAATACTTAACTTTCTAACTTTTTATACATCATACAGGATCCATATTTAAGAGAAATTTATACTCATTATAAAAAAAATAAAACATTAGTTTGACTCTTATATGAGAAAAATTGGCTGAGGTATTTAGTTTCAGCATTTGGGATATATGATGTCACTTCTAACTTGCCTTGAGAGGTTGATTAATAAATCAATTAGAATAATTTGAGATTCATTTTTTATTCTTAAATGCTACTGAAGGACATTCTTTTGTTACTTATTAATATACACTTTTTAACTGGTATGCCAAAATAATTTTCACACAAATTATTTTTAAGTTTCGATACATTATTAAAATTTATTGAATACATTACTAAAATTGTAAAAAAATCTGCAAAAATACATTATTAAAAATCTCATGAAGTTTTATTACTTCAGAAACATCACCGAATATTACTTCAAATTTTTTATTCCTGTAATAATTTTGAGATCCCAAGTTTTCTAGAATAAATTTTTCTAAATTGTATTGATCAATGTGTTTCATAACAGTCTTCAGAAGAATTCTTCTCACTTAATCTGTTAACATCAGAAACCTTTTTTTAAACTGAGATTTTATTAATTGCATATAAATGCAAACATTTCATTCTTCAATTTATGTACGGTCCACGAATATAATTTCTAGCTTTAAAGTAAAATATTCATGTCAATTTCGATCATGACGGGATCAAACTTTGTGTATCTTATTAGAATTAATATAAAATGTAAAAAAAATTCATAAATACTATAAATATGGGGAACCAGTGGGACGTATAAAAAGTTAAGATTTCACAAAACTGATTTTCTTTTAATATTTAAAAATACCCAAACAATGAATATTTGCATTGTTTGAGACATTTCTGTAACAGGAAGTGTATGTCTATGACTAATGGTACTGAAATAAAGTTCAGATAAGGTCTTTCATGGACACAGTGGATATATACGATTTCACTGGTTAGTAAAATTCAAGTGCATTATGCATGGCAATTTAAGCTCCAAATGTTAATAAATATAATCTTATCTGTTTCTAATATCAATATGTCAATGTTACAAAATACAAAGACAAAAAATACTAATAGTATTCATTCTTTATTTCCAAAAATGTTTTATGCATAATTTTTGATTGTATATACATTCACTTTAATAACTGTTCAATATTTTTATAAATATTTCCATATTTATTATGGCTGTTAATAAACTGCTTAAAAATACTTTGAGTATCTACTATGTAATTAAGAATTTTAATGTACATTTATTGCTGTCCTTTGTGGTTTAATTAGATATATAAATATATGCACTCATACTGCTGCATTGTCTACTCATTTAGCAAATGAACACAACTGTTGTTACAACTCATAATACAAGAAAAAAATGAACACTTTTGTTACATGTAAATAAATTTTAAAAAGGTTATACTCTCCAAACATTTTCCCTACAATATATTCTAATGAATGAATCAATAACATATAATTAGAAGATAAATGAAAAAAATATTGATCACCCTTTGGGAAATGACTAATAATGTAAAATCTTAAAAAAAAAAGAAAAGCATCATATTACATATAAAACTACTGTACATATGTAAACATAATTATACAAAACATCCATATCCATGCACAGAAATACTTCAATTGCATATATGTCATAAATAACAAATCATTTGATATATTCATATGATATGGATATTATATTTGTACTTAAAAACCAATCAGTGACATCTATTATAAAATGCATTATATTAAAAGGCACTTAATATAAAGAATACCACTATGTTTAATTTGAGAAAATATTTGCTTTAATCTACTCCAGTAAGTTGTTAAAAATGTTTTAAAATATGATATAAAATTGAATTATCTTTTAATTTATTGTAAATAAATACATTCTTTATTCTTTGCATGACCATTCATCACAAAAGATGGCAAATCTATATTAAGCATAATCAAATGGAATATATTGTAGTCTACCACATTAAAATAGGCACTTCAGGGTAATTTCTTTCATAACTATGTCTGCTACAGGAAAAAAAAAAAATGTTTGAATGCTCTAATTCCTTCTATGTGGTGATGAAGACAGAAGTTGCAAATCAAATGAAGGAAGAGTTGCCATGATCTTGAAGTGCCTATTTTTAAGTAACAGACTAATAGTCTAAAACATAAGTACAGAATTGCAAAAGTGTAAATTACTTTAACTTGTAATTACCTGAAATATGTTCTTCTATTGCTAGTGAATTTTTGACGAGATTAAGTTTGTGTTGTAAAATTCACAAAGATAACAAGTCATCAAATATTTACATGAATACAGTAAAGTACTACAGACATATTAATGAAAAACAATATTAGCAAAAGGTATATAATATGATTAAAATCTTACATATTTCTTTAACTGCATTTTCATTAGGGAGTTATATAAAGATACTAGATTTTAGATCTCTAAAGAGAAAAATAATTTAATATGTGCTTCAATAACATTGTTTTTTTTTTTTTTAACATTTATAAAAACAAAATACATAAAACTAGGAAATAAGGATTAATTTCTCATAACTATAAATTAAAGGCTGTGGCCTTTATTGAGCACTGCTATTTAAAATCTCTTTATTTTTAAAAAAATTTCTTTGTTTTATTTTAGGCCAACACAATTCTCTACGAAAAGAAGTATGCACCAATATTGCTTAAAAGCCACCACTAAATTACACATGTTGTTTTTATCTTTTATTATAGTTTATTTATTTTTATTTTCAAAGTTAGTATTATCAATAAAAAGTTTTTAAAGTCTGTTATTCTGTTTCATTCTTTGTTTATTAAAATAATAAATAATCTAAGAGATATGTGTCTTATGATTAGAACAATTTGAACACAGTTACAATGAGCTAATGACAATAGTACATTTCCTTGTTGGAAGTATCAAGTCGACAGATACAGGTTTCTACAGAAAAATGCTCGGCATATATTTCTTATGATGAAAAATAATTCAAATTTCTAATTTCGAAAACACATTTATAAAACTGAAAAAGGTGAAACTAATAAAACATATAGAAAGAAGCAAAAGCAATAATAAATTTGGAAAAATGCTCTTTTTGGGAGGGGGGGGATAATTATTTAGGAAAAACGAATTTCTTTACTCAATAAAAAATCAGAATACTCACTTTCTTAAATGCTTTTTAGCACTAGCCAGTGTTTAGTTTTATTAAGCTACTCTTTCAGCAATTCATAATGTCAATTGTAATGATGTCTGCTCTTAAATTAATCTACTTGCTCTCTGATTATATAAATTATTATTTTTTTCTTCTACACTGTTTTCAGTTATACAACAGAACCAAAAAATACTCAATTCTGAACCAACAAGTACCATCTTAGACATTAAAATTATAAATATGAATCTATATCTTTATTAATTCTCATTCATGTTTCATAAATTTTCTCATGCTTGATTCAAGATTTCATAAACCATGAATAACTGGATTAAATTATTTTTATACAAAATCTTAAATACTAAAAAATTTATAAACTTTTTTTTTTTTTAATATCACCACATGTTTACAATCTCTAAACTTTTCTAGAGGGAGGGAGAACAATAAATTTGGAAAAAAAAAAAAAAGCAGGATTTAAAATTTATAAATTGTTGCAAAATAAAAATTTATCTTATTAAATAACTATATATTGCAGGTTTTTTAAAAGCTATGTAATTTTTTTGATTTAATTTTATTATATGCTCCTAGTTTTTGTTACTAACTGAAAAATTTTGTATATATAAATTTCATTCCTAAAATACAGAATTTTAAAGTAATACATACAAAAGAAAAATTTTTAATAATTTTTTTGTATGTAATTACTAAAAACTTTGTAAAATTTTTTTTTAAATTTAAAATTTAAAATTTTAATTTATGACAATTTTTAAAACATATAATGTGAATTAGAAACACAGCAATTGAGGATCACTGAACTGAATAACCTCTAATTAACAGTCTAAGCACTCACTCTTCATGCATATATTCCATAATTAACAGTATAAGCACTCATTTTTCATGCATACATTCCATAATTAACGGTATAAGCACTCATTTTTCATGCATACATTCCATAATTAACAGTATAAGAATTCGTTTTTCATGCATACAATGCTATGAATATAAATTATCTCATTCATAACTGACTTCACTGCAAAATAAAATTTAATGATAAAATTTGTTACACTTTATGATAAGATAACTAGTTTGCTCTGAAATCATATGATTAGCTTTACTTATTTGAAACTTGATAAATAAGTGTAAATTAATATATTTTAGATTATGTAACTATTCATGGATATTTTTTTAATAGTTCAACATTTTTATAAGCTCTCAAATCCAATAATATAAAGTTGCATTTCATTCCTTAAACAAACAAACAAAAACACAAAAAAAAAAAAAAAAAAAAAAAAAAAAACTGTTTTTCTGAAATTAATTCTTGAAACAAATTAAACTAAAGAATTATAAGTATGTTATTTATTATAACTAAAATTATTCAAATCAGTTTTCAACTAATCTATAATAGTTTAATATAACATACAAAATTACCTAACTTCTATAACTATGTAATTCATAGATTTAATAAAAACATAAAACTATGCGATACTGTTATCTGATTGCAAACAGATATTTTAAGAATAACGAAACTATGCCAGTCTTAAATATCTAGACAAAAGTTACTAGCAAAAATAAAAGATTTCCTTATGAAACTCATTAAGGCACAGGTAACATAAATTGCTGATTATTAGAATTAGGCTATGAAGAAAGCACCCCGTAGACCTCTTGGACATCTGTTGAAATTAACATATATAAGCATGGCAGCACATGCAAAAGATTAAATGTTGTATACGCACAACACATTAATGGTACCCAGAAGCACAGTTTATGAAAGTAGATCTTCCATATGCAAATGTTTACTTATTACTCATTTACATAGAAGATATAAATATGCATCATATAAAAAGATAAAACTCAAATTAGGATAACATCTGAATTTATAAATATGATCACAGAAGAATTATAATGCCTGGTGATTGTGAATTATCTTTTCTTCAAAACTCCTATTCGCACACAGGCGGAAAATTTAGTTGCTGTCATGTGAACATGAAATTGATGAACAAAGAGTAAATGGATGGATGCAAGATCATAATGACTCAGATGCATTAACATCCACGAGAGGAGACATCTGATATCCATAGAATGTATAAATTGTTCACCATCACACATCCATAGCTACCAACCTTAAAATCTAAAAACCGAAAGGTAATACTTGCTGTTCAGTGATGCCATTTACAAAGAACACCAAACTGATTTAAACCCACTTTATAAGGCACAATTCAAGTTATTGAACTATTTGTAATACACAATTCTGATGCAAAACATATTAGATTATACATAATTTGATATTCTAAATGCTATGCTCTTCCACTAATTTCATTTTATAATTTTCTTACATTTGTATACAAAGCAAATCCTGAGTAGGAATAAAAAGCTTCTATTTATGAAAGTACTTAAAAAATAAAACTAATTACAGTACAATGTCTTTAATACGGGCGTCCATAATCCGGACCTCAAAGCTACAAACTTTCTGCGCATTTATGTAAACGCATAACACGTTTACACATGCGCGTTTAACGTATAATGGACGGTATAAGCTAGACTAAAATTATCTATTTCAGTTAATGTTGCAGACTGCATTGTTCCTTAATCTTCTAATTGGATCCAGCTTATTATTTTTTTCAGATTGTTAGAGCAATTTTATAAAAAGTAAGCTTGAACTTTCGATTATTTCAAAAAGTGTTTCCGATTCTGGAGCTGCCAAAGGATCTACAAAGCGAAAGCATGTTTGGATGTACCACTTCCGATAGTGAAGAAAGTGACAGAGAGGTTATTGGATATGAAAATATTTCGATTGACAAGTTAGTCGGTATTCTCGACACAGCAATTACAGGACTTGAACAGTGGAACTGAACAAGAAATTATGCCTGTTTATAGAATTAAAGAGAAAGTATTAGCACAAAAAACGAAGCAACTTAAACAACTTACATTGAAAGAAATGTTTAATAAAATAAACAAATAAATATTAATTTTTTTTTTTTTTTTTGTAAATTTTGATACCCTTTAGATCATTGCTCTTTATTTCATAAATTATGGTTTCATATTTTTAATTTTATAATTTCTACATGCCATCTTACCAGATTTAAATTGATGATCTATAATCCGGGAAAAAACCCTAATCCGGAATTGCCAAAGTCCCGACGTATCTGGATTAAAGACTTTGTACTGTATTAATAAACATAATATCCGTGTGGGTAAACTTAATAATACACCATATATTGAAGTAAAATAAAATTAAATACAAATATGAACTGATTAGACCTTGCTTGAATCTTCATATAAAAATCTACAAATGTCTACAGTAGATTAACATAATGCAGATCAAATTAAATTCAATTAGAAAAAGGTCAGTAAAATGTAATAAGAAAAAAGTAAATAAAATTCAGATAAAATTATTTTGCAAATCACTAAGAGTGAGAGTATAAAATTTACATAATTTTTAATTAAAAAATTTCAACATTTTCCTTAATAAAGGTTAAAAGATCAAAACCTGGGAGATTGATGATGTACCTGAAGACGTGACAAAAAAACTGGGAGTCTCTTAGGAGAATAGGCAGCTATGTACACCAAGGGTTCCCAAACGTTTTGTCCCAGAGCACATTCTAGAATATTTGTTGGACAGTGGACAGTATTTACTTTTTCAAGGTGAATTTACAGTTAGACAGAGTTAATAATACATGCACATATAAAAAAGAAATCGGTCACATTTGGCTTTGTGCTGGTATCAATGAGAAAACTTTCACATAGAATTTTATTGAAAGCTAAAACATTTTTATTGTGTTCGCACAGCAGCAGGCACATGTTAAATGTTCGGCAGGCACCATGGTGACCGCGGGCATAGGGTTGGGAACCCCTGATGTACACCATACCTCAAAGAATGAAGACATGTGGCACAGAAAAAGTATTCATACATACAGTGCAATGCCATCTGCAGCATTGTGAACTATTTCCAAGATGATCATTGCTTTGCCTACCTATCACTTCACACCATAGGTATCTAATTAGAATGGTGCTTTGAATTATACACACTGGTTCATGAATGGTATGACCTGAGCTTTTCATACAAATCACACTTCTGCGTGCAGCATTATGATGGTCATGGCTACTGGTGACAGAACTGAAGAGATTGATTCGTGGTGTCTTGTATTATGCATTATTATACCAACCCAGAATTTTATTTTAAGGTGCTAATGACTATGACCTCATACATCTGATATTCTGAGCAGTCAGCACTACATTATAGTGTTACAGCCTGTGGTTATCTCATATTTTAAGATCCACCTAATTAAGAAGAATGCTCAACTACATACCACACTCATTATTTCCCTGACAGACAGGGTACACATATTTCTAGCTTAGTCAGCATATTTGCCAAACTTTTAATGATTAAAATACACCTTGTTCAGAGCAACAAAGAGATGGATAAAACAATGAACAGTAGCAGCTACAATAAATGAAATCTAGCAAAGAATTGAAATCTCATGGACTGCAGTATGCTAAGCTGCCAACCAGAATTAATTCCACTGCATGTCTGTGTAGCTGCAGCAGTTCTTGCCTATAGTGGCTACACGCAATACTGATTTCTTCTGTATGGCTAAAATTTCTGAATATATGAAATTTATTTGTATCTGAACTGTCCTGAATTTTTTTGCATTGTAGGGTACTTGTAAAATAAATATGGTTTTATTACCTTTTGGCTTTCATGACACTGCAGTTTTAATGACATACAGTTTAAAATAATTACTAAATTTTACTTTTAAAAAATTTAAAACACACGTAAAAGTGCTAAATAATTAGTACCAACATTATTATTTATGTTTTCTGTCTTAAAATAATCTTTTTCTTATCAACCCAAAGGGGGCATTAGCCCATATTATCAATCATGAGATAGCATTAAAAGTTGAATCACTTTTCAAATTGTTGCCACCAAATATTATTGCCCTGTATTATATTTAAAGAAATTAAATAATGAAGACTCTAGTATGAATGTATGTATGTTTCTTGCACTGTTAAAAAACAACTGTACTTACAGCCATCAAATTTTGAATAACATATCATCCACTTGAATATGGTCACATGGAAACCCAAATTTTGAATTTGTTTTATTATCTATTTCATATTTTGTAAAAATTCAAAGAATTTTTGATTAAGAAGACAAATGATTTCAAACCTAGCAATGACAACACTGAATGGAATAAAACATTTTTATATTCCGCACATGACACTGTCTACTGGAAATTCTAAAGATATGCTGTTTTTTAAACATTTTTAGCCCAAATGCTCTAGAACAGCGATTCTCAACCCGGTGGTAAGCATACTACTGGTGGTATGCAAGATAAAAACAGGTGGTACACAAAGAAACAAAGTATTTTTAACAACTAAATTCAAAAATCTTCTTAAGTTTGGTGTGTTTGGTGGTGTACTTAATTATGGCAAAGCACACGAGGGCTATCTGCCTAAGGGGAGGGATGCCTTCGTGGAGGACTTTCTAAGGGAAACTGGCTCGTATATATGTTACACATGGGGAAAACCACGAAAACACCCATGCAGCCAGCCCGTTGGCGGGATTCGAACCTCGGACCAAACTACCAGTGTTCAGCGACTTTACCGCTCGGCCGCTGGTGGGCTCAAAATCTTCTTAAGAAAAAGAACAACTGATAGAAATTTTCTGCGATTGAACTCTAACTGAAGATTTCAAAAATAACACATTTGTTAACTTTTGGCTGAACTGAAAAAAAGAATTTAAACCCGTTTCAAATAAAGCTATAAAATTTTTATTGCCTTTTTGCACAACTTATATGTGTGAACAAGGGTTTTCTTCCATGTTATATTTGAAAAATAAATACAGAACAAATTTAAAAGTGGATCCTAATTTGCAGTTAAAGTTATATAAAATAAGACCAGGAATAAATTAATTACTCTCTTTTAAAGAGCCCCAAATTTCACATTAAATTTTAGAACTATTCACACTATAGTTCTATATATAATTAACTAATTCTCACAGTAAAATTTATACTAAATTTTAGAATAACTTAAATTTTGATAATTAAAATAGTAACTAATTTTTAATCTAATATTTTAATATATGCATATTTAATACAAATAGCCAATTGGCTGTTGAAATGGCAAAATATAATTTTTTAATATTACTATTGAGAAGGTGAAAGATAGTCATTGTAAAATGTGGTTGTAAATGTGGTACTTAAGTTTTTTAATTTTGGATTAGATGGTACACATTAGTCAAAAGGTTGAGAACCACTGCTCTAGAAACATGTATGCATGTGTAAATGAAAATAAAATGCCTCTTTGAGCATAATATGAAACCCTTAAACTTGCAGATTTTTTTAATTTATTTATTTATTTTTCCCAATAAAAAATATGTTGATAGATGGCACGAAGATTCAAAATTATAATTCAACATTACAACACAAATCTTTTTGAAAAATTAACATTGAAACAATTTATTTCAAAATATTTTTTCACATTTTAAAAGTAACTCCTTTTTAACTTGTTGAGAAACACTTAGCAATTTTATTAATGCAGATTAGTTTCCATACATAAAGAGGATTAGTGTTGGACTTACCTATCACATATTTGATTCAAAAGTATTAAAATAAATAGTTATCAATATTTTTGGATTTCTAAAAATTTATTCACTGAAAAAATTCTGCTTCAGTCTCCCTGCTTAATATCAACAGCATATACCAAATTTGTATGAAACAAAATGCATCTAATTGTAATTTACCTGAAGAAATAATATTAAAATAAAAAGTAACAAAAATTATAAAAGACAATCTATTTTACAAAATCATACTTGGCAAAATACAAATGTGAATTAACAGTTTTTCTAAGCTAATCACTTGATGCAAAGTGCTTTTAATACATGATTGTATGCACTAAGTAATAATACATGGTTTGAATAGTTCAGGATTCTACCTCAAAATTTTAAATATAACAATACCTAGAGTAGTTTCATTACATTATATGCCACATCAATAAGAAAGTAATATTGGTAAATGCTACTGTGAATAGATCAATCAAGTAATTATTAAACAATTTTTTAAAAAACAGATTTAAAATAAAATTAAATCAGATTCTTTCATATTTACTCGATTTTTTATCAACACAAAACACACACACATGAAATTCAGAAATTTTACATGCTTTTTAATAAAACAGGCCTCTGATCCTGTTTTAATTCTGTGGTCATCAAATTAAATCATCATAGCAGACTGTTTGACAGGTAGAAAATAATGCCTTTAGCAGCAAGCCATAAACTGTAAAAACCTTTTTGTTTCAAATTAGAGAATATTTTTCTCTTGACAAGATCAACTTTTTCTAGGAGAAATTTTAAGTACAAAGCTATATTCATTTAACAACAGTACAAACACAGTTTCAGATTAGAAGAAAAATGCATTCTTCTTTGCCCACATATGTTTACTATTGTTCAAAATATCATTCGATTAGAAGAATTTTAAAATAACCTACAATACTTATTAATTACTATATTAATGAATATATTTTAGTTATTTTGGTGGTACAGCCTGATACTACTATGAAATTTATATTAAAACTGTAGATCTTTAGTTCGCCTTTAAAATGCCAAATATTATCAATCATGATTTAAGAAATCTGAAGTCCACTTGCAAATAATTCGAACAATATACACAAGGTAATAAAAGAACTTAATTTCCAAAATGGAAACAGGAAAACTGTTGATGTAATATACAGAGTTATTATTTATTTTTAAATAAATAATGTAATATTTGTAGTTTGCATATCAACTGGACTTCCACAGTATATCATACATAAATTAAAATAATGCAAAAATAATTGCAGCAAAATTACAATACTTAAAAAAAGGGAAAAATACCAAAAAACCGTTGAGAAATTCGTTATCTCAACTAGTATTAAGTAAAAACAATACTTAAACCATACTGATATGCATATTTTCCATTAAGATACAATAAATTTATGCTTATTAGGGTATGTCATTTAAATTAAATTTTATTTTTGAGAATTTTAATAAATTTAACTAAAACAAAATTTTACTATTATGTGCAAGTTTCTTATAAAATCTTCCAAATTCTTATTTTAATACTACATGAAATTGGACATTTTTTTTTTTTTTTTTTTAGATTACTGTTAAAAGTACAATAAACATATGAATGCTACCATGTAATATTCTAAACACACTAAAAAATTAAAAACTTCAGCATATTATATCAGCAATAGGACTGACTTTTCACACACATACAGTTGTCAATCAGTTTTACAATTAAAAAAAAATCTTTCTCTTTTCAACTAATAACCACTTTTTAAAATTAATACTGAATTTGCTAAGGTCACAAAATAAATAAAAAATAAGCACATGTGATCAACTTAAAATAAAGTAACAAATAATCATAAAAAATTTTAATATATTAAGAGATTCGTTAAAAACCAAATCAGAAAAATTCACATGCTATGTGATTAATTTAACACTAATTGTTTTATAAATGACATACAATTATAACCAATAAAATTTACACAAAGTATAAACTTCAAATTATAATATAGTCAATAAAATCTGGATTATAATTTCAAACAATTTCGCCTCTGCTCCATGTCATGAACTGCAGCTCTAAGGAGAGCTAAATTTTGTTCTTCAGTGAATGATACAAGAGACAGCTCACTTTCATCCAGTGAATTATCAATAACTGATTCACAACTACTAGTATTGGAAGTTAAATGCATTTCTGAGTTTTCGTCACCATTGTCTACTGCAATAAGAGTTTGTTGACTTGCTGAAACAATAGCCCACTTGGGTAATTCTGGATTATTAAATTTATCAGGCATAGTTTCTATATTTTGCAGTGGTGAAAAGACAGAAGGATTTGTAACTGGTAGTAAGTTCTCAGTGTGTACATTTTCTGTACTCTGCAACGGAGAGAAAGTAGAAGGATTTGCAACTGATAGTAAGTTCTCAGCCTGTAAATTTTCTGTACTTTGCAATGGTGTAAAGGTAGAAGGATCTGTAATTGGCAGTATGTTCTCAGTCAGTAAACTAAGACAGTTAGTAGGGCTAAAACTTTTCATTTCACCTAATGGGACTAAACACCTAACATGAGAAAAAAAAAATACCACAATATATATATATATATATAATTATTTTAAAAAAAAATTACAAATTATTAAAATTAATGGGTGGAAAGTATTAGATCTACATTAATACTAGCACTAAAACAGACATGTTATTCTAATTAAAAAATATTTTGTAAACACTACACCAACGATAGTGCATATTAAAGTGGCATTTAACCCATTAGCCACTGGTGTTGCGTTGACGCAACGGTAAAAATAAATGCGTATATAAATATAACTACCTAAGATATTTTATACCAGCAGATGATTTTGTGTAGGGAATATTATGAAGATTATTTCTGTAAAAAATATTTGCTTTCAACAATCATTTTATTTATAATAATTAATCTCATACTTTAAGCAAAATTTTCGACCAGGTATTTTTGCCAAAAATATTTAACGAAAGAATCACCGTCTTTATGAGTGGTATATTCTTAGACAAGGTCACCATTTATCAGAACATTACATCAATCAAATGTTTATATTTGTGTTGGGAAGGAAGGGAAAACAGGTGTTGCGCTGACGCAACGTCAGCAGGAAACTGGTAATCCCTTTTTTTTACTCATTCCTTTCGATGTTCCGGTTCATGTTCTGGCTGCTTTAAAAATGTCTATAACAATTTATCTTATATTAGAAGAAGCCCTTTAACCCGAGCCGGGTAACGAAAATGCGCGCTTATCGCGGAGGCCGGCAGTGTCTTCTGCGAGTGTCTCTCCAGGGCCGGGGGCTTTTTTGCTACTAAGCCTAAATCCATGAAATTTCCGAAGTATCAACGCATTGTTTAATAATGCTCTATAGAGTATTTAAACGGCTTATGCTTTATAGATATTTATATATATATACTTTAATTACCTTATTTCTTGTTTAAATGCATATTTTACATGTTTTATTTTAATTACTCACCATTTTATGACTTTTAACATTATACATCTGAAAACTAAATATATTACTTAAAATTCTCTTTTTGTATGAAAAATTTGAAAACAGGGATCTACACACAGTCCTGCATTACATTCCTTGAACTTGTAATAACTCATTTGCCGTTTTGGAGGATTTTTCTGGGAATGTGAACAAACGAAGCATCGTCGTCTCATTTTCTTATCAGTCTCTTCTAAACAAAGTTTCGGAAAATGTCTTTCAGTTAATCTTTCAGAATCAATACCAGAATATCAGAATTTCAGAATCAATATCTGAAATAGTTTGCATCATTTCTGCTATTTCATGCTCTGTTAAACATTTTCGACGCTTCGACATTGCAACGGTAAAAACAGAAAGAATTCACGTCTAACAAGATCTAATTATTTTCTAGAAACTGAACTGTAAACCGAAATACTCAACGCTTTAGCGCATATAAAACTTCTACTTACAATAAACAACTACCACGTGCGAATAAAGTGCGATTTAAAGAGACATCATAAATCACGCCATTCGGAAACATTTAGTTCCCCGTTTGTTTATATAATCAAAAACACGTGTATGTGAGTCATGCTTCTCTCATTTCGAGTAGAAGGTCTAATGTACATGTATCTGAAACCATATGGACATACAGTGCCATCTTGTGGCAAAAATAATAGTTTCTAAAACGTTCCAGGGTACTTGCACAAATACGTGACAGTCGGTAGTAAACGGGAAAATGCTCTGGCACACCTGCGTGTCGGCCGGTAGGTGAGTGTGTTCGTTGCTGGCACGTAGACATGACAGTCGGCGCGAAGGGGTTAAAGATTTTATGATAAAGAAACAGATGATGATAATGTTAATAATGACCAGAAAGAAACTGATATTGTTGTTGTTCCCCCAGAAATTGCAGGAGCTAGTGATGAAGAAGGGAATGACAATGTTTTAAACAATGATAATGATATTTTACCAAATGATATTGCTGGGAAAGTTGAAATTCACATAAGAAACAAGTTTTCAGCCTTCTAAAAACAGTGGTAGTCATATAAAAAGTTAAAAAAACAGAAAACTGAAAATTTGAAATGGATAAAAAAGGAAAAGTCAGTTATGTTTCAGGAAGAGAGATAGAAGAGAAACTACAAAAGACAAAATACAAGGTAAAACTAGTGGAGAGATTTTCGATTTTCTTTTTGGTTTAGACATTTACTCTCTTCTTGTTGAACAGACAAATATATACGCTCAGCAAAAAAATCTCCCAGAATTTTATTGCATCTGAAGCCTATATGGGAAGATTTATTGGAATATTGTTGCTTACGGGATATCCTTCTTTACCTCAAGAAGAAATATATTGGTCTCTTGATAAGACATTTCTGTTCCTATTGTATGAAAATCGATATCACGTTTGCATATGAAGCAGAATTTGCATTTAGCTGACAATAGTCAAACTGACAATACTGATAAATTATATAAGGTGAGACCATATCTAAATATCACGACTTTCTACTACTGGAAATAAAAAGTCTCTTTTAGATTTCAGGTGCGAGATTGCATTATTCCTTTTGCAAACTCCTATTGAGAATGTAGAATTAGCCAGAAATAGATCAGCAACAGGAAGACCTAGTAAATTCAGCATTCAAAAACCACTGCATGGAGATGGTAGACATTTTATCATGAAGTCCGACCGATGATAACAAAGGACTTCGTAGTAAAGAGTGACACAGATACAACATGTTTATAGATTTATTTACATCATGATTGTAGTGAAGCTTTTCATGCTTGAATCTTTAAATTGAAATAATCTGTATTTGTAAAAAAAATATAATGTATATTTTAATATTTAATATATATTACAAGTAAAGTGATTTGCAGATTTAAAATGTTATACAGCTAAAAGGTAATCCAGTGTTCCACTCAAAGTACACATCGCACAAGTACGATCCTATTCACTAAACATCCGTAGTATTATTCTGCTGACGTTGCGCGAACGCAACACTCGCTTTTTCCACAGGTACGAACGAGCATTTTTTTTTTAATTTTCAATGCAAATTTATGTTATAAATGCTTAATTTAATATTTGTTATTTTCATGAGAAAAAAATAATTCCTTGTAGTTTTGGAGGTTAATGGGTTAAGGCAAAATTACCAGCTATCAATAAAAAGACATTTTAAAACTATATGTGTGAAATATGAAGTTCTAAGCAGTAACATACTATTTTAAAACATTCCTTTCCTAAGCATTTTTATAATTAAATCCAATAAATTCAAAAAATTAGATCCAAATATAGTTCTTTAAAAATTTTTTAATAAAATATAAACCACTAAATAGAAGTAAGTCACAAAATGTTTAAAAACAAAACATGATACATCAAAACACATATTTTCCTTTGATATTCATCATAACATGTTATAATTTTATTTTGGAAGAAAGCAAATTTAAAGGATAAACACAGAACAAAGTTTCTGTCTTAATTTCAACTTAACTATAATCAATCCTACATTCTGAACTCATAACAAGGGAAAAATGTACAATATCTACACAATTTTATTATTTTTAGATCTAAAATTCTATATTCTTCCTACTTAAAATATAGAAAGCAAAACTTCTCCCCCCCCAAAAAAAAAGTATTTAAACATAAACACAATCAATCCTTGCTGAGCACTGGATTAGCAGGACACAATTTCACATGTACACATTTTCTTAATTATTTCTATTCAATTTGTCCAAGAGAAGAATTTTATTCATATGTGATTCAGCGTTTATTCACCAGCATTTAACACTTGCTGTATCAGCACTGAACAGAAGTTATTAATAATTTTAAAGGATCCACAGACTGAAAATTATGTCAGAAAACTTGCACAAATTTCAAAAGCAACTGCTGGCAAAGAATTTCCAGATATGGAAGAAAGATTATTCAATGGATTAACACCTTAACTTATGGTTTATGTTTCAACAGCCTGGGTCCAAAACATAAAACAAATCGTGCAGCTTTGGAGCCATTCCAAGGTTTGGCAAATCTGTCCTAAGTTGTACCAAACATACATGACTTACAGGATGTAAATACACGTGCAAGATGCAACTGGTTTAATTTTGTGGAATATTTGATAAGTAATTACAATCTGATGTAAAAATTGTGGTAGATATACCAAAAAAAAGTTTAGTATCAATCACTAAAATATAACAAACCCATAGCATTTATCTGCAATTCCTAAATAAATTAGCAATTCAAATAATTAGCATTTATAAAAAATCAATAATTAAAAATTAATAAACTCCAGTGGTATGATATCGTTCAAAACATAGTTATAATAGAACTTTGCACCCCTTGCACTTCCCCATTGTTTCACTACATTTTTTATTTTTCGTGTGAACTTTACAAGGTCTTGATGGCCTTAATTTCGATATTGTTGGGCCAACATGCTTAGGAAAATGACCCAAATGTTTTGCATATACAGTCTCTCTAGTATATCTCCATACAATAATTATCCTTGTCCTTTATAATCCGATTTTGGCATATTCTTCAGTAAAGATTCAGCTATCTCGATTCTATAATCAAAGTAACTTTGTTTTTTCGCATTATTTTGTTGACTAAAATATTCAAACATACCCAATATCAAGAGATAAAAGAAAATTTTTCAATATCCTTCCATGTATTTTCTCATGATTGGAAAGCATGCTAGTATTTGGATCAATTCCAATGATTCTCTTGTTGTACTTCATAACACAACTTGGTTTCAAAGTACGACTGGATCCTTGTGTAGTCATTTGTACTATTTTGTTGTCAGAATATGAACATGTCATTTATCCTTCCAGTTTACAGAGAGTATTCAATTACAGCTTCTCATTGTGTATTTCCCCTTTTTGATTTTACTTTACACAAATCTTTTGACATCTTTCTATTCGCACATATTGTGTCAATGGCATTTGTTTTATAAGTGAACAATAGTGTCATAAATAATTTTGCCAAAGAGTATCAATTATCTATGTTTTAAGTGTGACCTATGTGTAGCACTGACTGTGACAACATTTTCAGAAGCACTGTCATCCCAATTTATTTTATCATGGCCTGTATTTATTTTAAAGTCATAGCAATAACCTGAATCTGACCCACAAAATTTCCAATTTTGATGGATTGAATTGTTTATAAGATATGTGTCGCTTAAATGTCATAAGCAATTCATTGATAATATTTTCCTGTTTCCTTTTATACATTTCTTTAAATTTTTTATTAAAAAAATTGGTCATAGGTTTTAGTTTGCTTAATTTGTCCTTCATAATTAATGGCTTGCATTTTTTCATACAGAATGTATAACATCACTACTGTCACTTTCGGTAGCAGAAATATCAACATAACTCTCACTGTTCTCATCACAAAATCATCTTTTTTTAAAACATCTTGGTATACTTCAGTAATATTTAAGAAAATATAAGTGTGAACATGACCATCTATCCAACTGATTATGATTCAAAGAGATAATAAGAATCTATCACAAGCCTGATTTGTATTGTTTGTGATGGTGCAAAATGCGACTTTACACCACGGGCCATGCTTATGATATTTACATTTGACTTGATCATTGTACCAGGGGCCAAGCCTGTAATATTTACATTTGTCCTGATGGATGTACTATGGTTCAGACCTGTGATGATCAGTTTTGACCCGAATACAAGACCACGTGTCTGACACATAGTTGTAGTTTAAGGGGTTAATTGAGATACGAAGAACTGGATGATCTTATAACCCCAGCTGGCACTAAATACAGTAGTAATGAAGGAAAAGATAAAGCAGCTTTAACTTCCAAAAACTAAAAATGATTGTTAAGAAAAAGCAACCGCAAAACTTTAAAGAGTTGCATATCTCACTGTCCCAAGCAAAAATCTCCATCTTTTTAAAAAATAATTGTATCAGTTACTTATTAAGCAGCAATAAAAACCCCTTCAAATTCCCATTTCCTTCCTTTTAATTATAACAATATTATTTAAGTTTGTTTAAATTATACATACTTTCTTCATCTGAATTATATTCAACACACTGTTTTCAATAGAAAGTTAAATTTACAGAATGTGATTTTACCATTGGTGCAATATTTTAATGATGTAACTTTGCATTCAGCAAGGGTTTACTGCTTATGCTATAATTTAAAAAAAAAAAAAAAAGTTTTTTCTGTAGTCTAAATATAAATTTTAAAATAATATATCAAAATAAATGTGATTTTCAAAAATTAAAAGATTATCTATTACACGGCACAGATTAATACATATGCTCACAAAAAATAATGCTATGCCATTTATTCCTTTACAGGTAAAAACACTTTTTGACTTGGCAAATTTATTAATTTTTTTGGTACCGAAATTTTGATACACTATCAGAATACGTAAACTATATTTATTTTATCTCTTTCTTTATGCACTATGATATATCTGAAAATTCAATAAACATTTTTCACATGCATGGAAAAATGTCTAATTGAAGAAAAAAAGGTAATGCTTGCTTTAAAAGGGAAATTAATGATGTAACTTTCCACACTGCATGCAAATGTATAGTTGGTCTATAAAGTCATGGTGCACTTTTGTTTGGTCACAGGTAAGCAACAAAACGAGACAGAAATGTGAAATCTTCACCAAACAAAAGGAAAATTCTCCAAGTTTCCATAGTATTATGTGCAGGCATGTGTGCGCACACAGTTGATAGTGCAGCACAGCGAAATGCGGAGCAGATCAGCCTATCTACACCCACGCCAGTCGAGATGTGGACCGTACAGAGTTCAGCGTGTTCTGTGGCTTGCCAAACTTGAATCCGTGACTAAGTGCAACGTGAATATTGTCGCGTGTACAACAAAATGCCACCACATAGAAATAACATTAATCAGTGGAATAAGCAGTTGAAGGATACTGGCAGTTTATTGGATAAACCCCATTTTGGCAGGCCATCGTGAGTCTGTAGACACTATATGGAAGAGTTACATAAGAAGCTCTTACAAGTTGCAGCTGGTGCATGCTATCAAACGGATGCCAAATGACTTACGTTTGCTACAGATATGCTTCATGAGGTCGACGATAACCGATTTCTGCAGAGGATTGCATTTAGCGATGAGGCAACATTCCCCGTTAGTGGACATGTTCATCACCATAACATCCGAATATGGGCTGCTGAAAATCCTCATGCCCATGTAGAGTATGAACGTAACAGCGCTAAAGTGAACATGTGGTGTGGCCTGATGCATGATAACCTCATTTTTCTTTGCGGAGTAGACTGTGACGGCATGTCTGGGACCCACATCAAATTGCACTGAATAGGTATGAAACTTTAAAAGGTTTTTCTTTTGTTTAGTGAAGATTTCACATGTCTACCTTGTTTTGTTGCTTTCTTGTGACCGAACAAAAGTGCACTATGACTTTATGGATGCACTATATATACATGTGTATATATAATGTTGTATGATCTTAAATTTACTTAGTGCATATATATATATATATATATATATATAAAATAATGTTGTATGATCATTGCAACATTTAATACTTCTACTAAAACTTTTGATACTTCTACTAAATTTATATTAGGAGATAACGTAATCAATATTTCTTTAGTAAATAAATTATTATTACATATATATATATACACACACTAAAGAAATATTGATTATATTATCTTCCTAATATTAATTTTAGTAGAAAGACATCTTTATTATGTATTATAGACAATCATTAAAATTTGTGAATAAAAATCAATTGAAGCAAAAATGTGAATACTATATAATAAAAGAAAAGAAATTTTCAAATAAACATTTATTTTAAATTAATGAATGGTTACCCCATTTATAGCCTAGACTCTTCTTCCTTTTAAAAACAAAACATTTAAGAGGTCAGGATACCTAAGAGTAATACTTAAAAAGTAAAGAGCAAGATAAATTATCATATTTTGAATGAATAGGTACTTTCTGATTATTGGCACCCTCATCAAAAAGGTCGCAGAAAAGTATTCATAAGACAAAGCAGTATGTCACCAAGGCAATGTCTGTTTTGACCAATGTGCAAAGAGGATGTTGGAACCTACTTGGAAAAGAGTTCAAGCAACTATCTGATGTTTTTTCAGCAAAAACAGATCACTGTATACATGAGGAGAGCAACAGAGCAAAAAAAGTAGGTTACCAATATTTCTTAATTTCTTCTTTTTTTTTTTTTTTTTTTTTTAATTGATTGGCTGACTGTTCGTGTATGGAAATCTTTAGTGGACTTTTATTTTGAAAATTACTGTTCCTTTAGTTGCACTAGCTTAGCGAAAAATTAGTTGCCAACAAGTTCATGAATGCTCTGCAAATTTGCAATTTTTTGGTGGAGAGTACGGATAATCAGAAAGTGCCGATGAATGTAACAAATTGATGCATGAATTCAAATTAGTAATGCAGAAGCATTTTGCATTTTTGTCTTTATCTGTTATTTTAATGAATTTAAATGATTAAAAAAAATTTTTTTTTTTACTTTGGAACTTCATCTGGTGCATTTAAGCAAGCTTCTAATTGTTTGGCAGTTGGTACAGCATTTATGCCTTCTTTGGTTGTTATCACAGCAAATGAAGGTATCGAGGTACTAAAGTCTTTAAGCCATGGATTTGTAACCTTCCGTTGCATTGCAAATTTAATGACTTCCAATTTTTGCATTGCCATAACAGTTTCCTATTTAGTAAATTTATAAAAATAAATTAGAATATTTTATTTGTAGAAATACTTCCTGCATTCACTGAAATAAATTTATAATATAGGGTGCCTCAACAAAAGTCCAGGATTTAATATAGTAAAAAAAAAAAAAAAATACTTGTTTTTAGAGAATGAAAAATATTATTTTACACTTACAACAGGCAAATGTTCCAATTTAAGAATGTCAAGTTTGATGTGATCTGGCAGGAGCAGCATTTAATGACTATCAGTTCAGGAACAGCAAAGAATCAAAGGAACAGCATTTTGATTGTGAAAACTCATAACAAGAACTGCTAGCATTGTGCACAGACCATAAGGAAGCTTTATATTATTTTCTGGAGATAAAAATGCGGCAACTGAAATAACAGTTTGCAGAGTGATAAAGAAATCTGAAGACCCAGGTTCAACAGCAGACAAACCACAACGCTTTCCATCCAACTGGTATGTTGAAAAATGTGACTATTTTGCATGACGCTGTAATTACAAGTAAAAAAAAAAAAAAATAGGGGAATGAATGTGTCATTTACCACCTTGGTAGGCAGATATTTGAAAAAAGTTCACACATTATTTTATATTCTTAAATCAAAATATTTACCTGCTGTAAGTATGCAAAAATACTTTTTTCTGAAAAAAAAAATCATCATATTAGGCATATTAAATATGGCACTTTTGTTGTGACACTCTCTCTCTATTCAATTTTCATCTACAGACACTATTAACCATTGGACTGCTACTCGGCGCAAAAGCGCTGCATTCATTTGTCTCGAAAAAGTGTGACGCAGTTAGTTATTTTAGAATGCACTCATGTTACAAAGTACGTGTGAGGTCAGACTACGTTCACATCCACGGAGTAACAAAGACACACTGAAACTCGCAGCACAAGTAGCAGTCGAACGGTTAATTTTATCAAAAATTTCCATTAACTTAACGATGCTACATTCAAAACGAATTCTTTATAGTACTCTACTTAATTTGGCTATAATATCTTGAGTTTTCTATAAATCCAATAACTTAACGGAACTACAATTTTGGCCTCAACTAAATTTGCCAGTTTGGTGTCATCATTCTTACTGAGTAAAAGACGAAATACCTTTGTATTTATTAATTATTGTTCATTGAATGGGAGTTGGCTTGTTCCCCTTGAAAAGTGAACTAATTTCCGATCAATGATGATAATTACTTGGCTTATTAATTTCCTTTTTCACAGTTTGAATTTCTATTTTTCATGATTTAAATTAAAGTACCTTTAAAAATTTTTTTCGGAATTAAATTTAATACTTCTGAGTTACTTCATTTAGACACATTCTACTAAATTTATATTAGGAGATAATATAATCAATATTTCTTTAGTAAATGAATTATACATATATATATTGTAGAACATTCTTACCGGTTTGGCCCAGAATGTTCTCAAAGGCAGGCTGAAAGCTATATATATCCTGTCTGTATGCAGAGTAGCAGTCTAGTACAGAGTCCGTTTCTATGCCTTCACTGTCTATTTGCAGAGTGAGACCAAAAGTAAACTTTCATTTGTATGCATCAAAAAATCTATCTTCCTGCCCACTTGCCGAACTGCTTGTTTTTGAGTAGAAACTCTAATTTTAATTGTAAAAAAAATTTTTTTCCAACTGTATTAGGTGTTTTATGCTATTTTGTATATTACAATTTTTAATGAAGTTGTTTTGAGTTAAGCATTTTTGGCTTGGCACAAGTGAAAACTGAATTAATTGATTGAGAAATTATCTCTAACGAAATTCGACGAAATAAGTTTAAATGATATGCAGCAAAAAATGCGTATAATTTAATAGGCCGTACAAGGAAGTCATGTGGTGTTCTCATCAGATATATATATTAAAAATTCTGCAGTACTTTTTACTTGTACATTAAAAATATGCAGGAATTTCTTAATATATTATTATTTTTAAAAACATTAGCTAGGAAATAAAATAGAAATATGAAACATATACATAAAAAGTATTAAAAATTTAATGCATTAAAAAAATTTAAGTAAAAAATAGTTCAAAAGCATATCTAAAACAAAAGGAGGGAAAATTTATCAACAATTTTAAAATGCCTAGGCAAGAAACTGACATAAATACTATAAAATTACTTCAGTATCTGTAGAAAAATGTACTCGAGTCATCTGATTAGCAGGTTCCATTTTCAAAACTTTATTTTCACTGGCACTTTCAAAATTCTTATCGTTTATTTCTTCCTTACTTCTTTCAATCTGCAACGTGAAATTCCAACAGTATTAGTGATACAAAACTCATTCAAATCAAATCTGTTTAAAAATAAATTAAAATACAATATTTCAGGTTAGATTCCAAAGGCAGTCTTTGAGTACCAATTTCTGGATAGCACAAGTCAATTTGTTCTTAATCTATATTCAACACTATCAGAATCGATGACAGAAATGTGTGTGTTTGTATTACATTTCTGGCGCAAAATGTTAAAAGGCTGTCTGCACAAAACCAATAGTTGAAGCAAACCAGTTAAAGACTATAATTTCTAGGAATTCAGTAATCCAAGAAATAATGGAGAATCAAGAACAGATTTAGTAGGATAATCTAGAAGGTGCCATGTAAAATAGAAACTAAGCCAAAATGAAGCAATCTCTGCTGCAATCACTACTGATTATATCACAGATCAGAAAATAAGATCAAAACATTCACAAAACTATGGAAAACAAATATCACCAATGGTAGGGTAAAACCATGAAAGAAAAGAGCAACTAAGGAAACACATAGATTACAATATATGTTAAAACAATGCATGCATGCTATTATAATACAGTTTAGATTTGACAAAATTGAGAGTAAAAACAGATTACAGATTAAGTTAAAAGCCAGTATCTTTCAGAAGCTAGAACAATTTATAATGAAGTGGTTTTTTTTAATTCAGTTTTTTAAATCCAGATTGAAATAATTAAAATGTTTTAGGTGAAAATATTTAAAAGATTCTTATTCCAGTAAAATATGGCAAAATGTCAGAATTCCATTGCAATTTACACAAAGTGGAACTCTCTCAACCTTCACAAATCAGTCGACAGTAACCGATTCTCAAATGAATTAAGAGTACTTCTTGCCTTCTATTTAGGACAGACGGCCAGCATGGAATAGATGGTTTAAAACTTCTCAGCTTATCCTTTGCTTGATCATCCTAATGCATCAGCCATTTACTGAGAATTTTACATTTGATTAATGCTCTGACATATGCAAGTGGGGCTTGAAGTTTGGACATGGTAATAGCAACCTTAGCTGTAATATCTGCTGGTTCATTCCCTTTTATGTCAGCATGGCTAGGGATTCAGGATTAGAGAATCACATAGCCCTGACACTTTAGAATCTGATTGAGGTTCAGAATTCCAATTTTAATGAGATTTGAATAATAAATAGAGTCTTTCAACGATATTAATGCACTCAGAGAATCTGTGTAGATAATGCAACTCTTGCAGCTTTGTTCTTAGAGGAAAAATAAAGTCTGATAAGCCACAGTAAGTTCAAAAGTGAAAACTGTGCAAGCTTTAAGCAAATGAGACCTAACTACTGTTTTTTCCATTACAAAAGATGCACCAACATGATTTCATGGGTTTGACCCATCTTTATAGAGAGGGGTATAATTTCTATATTTATGTCTATGCTCTTCAAAGATCTGTCTGTAAATGAGAACACTCATTCTAGATTTATCCAAAAGATAGGATGTATCTATAAGTTGAATTTTCCAGTCCTCCCATAGTGGAATTTCAAAAGGATTCTCCACTTGTATACAGTACAAAGTCTTTAATCCGGACATCCATATATAATGATCTATAATCCGGACCTCAAAGCTACAAACTTTCTGCGCATGCGTCAACGCATAATACGTTCACGCATGCGCATTTAATGTATAAGGGACGGTATGAGCTAGGCTAAAATTATCTAATTTTCTATTTCGGTTAATGTTGCAGATTGCGTTGTTCCTTAATCTTCTAATTGGATCCAGCTTATTATTTTTTGCAGACTGTTAGAGCAATTTTATAAAAGTAAGCTTGAACTTTCGATTATGTCAAAAAGAGTTTCTGGTTCTGGAGCTGCCAAAGGATCTACAAAGCGAAAGCATGTTTCGATGTCCATCAAACAAAAAGCGGAATTGCTGCAAAAAATGGATAAAGGCATGAAGAAAGTCACAGAGAGATTAGTGAACACGAAAAAATTTCGATTGACAAGTTAGTCGGTATTCTCGGCACAGCAATTACAGAACTTGAACAGCGGAACTTTGTAACTGAACAAGAGATTATGTCTGTTTATAGAATTAAAGAGAAAGTATTAGCACAAAAAAACGAAGCAACTTAGACAACTTACATTGAAAGAAATGTTTAATAAAGTAAGCAAATAAATATTAAGCTTTTTGTTTTTGTAAATTTTGATACCCTTTATATCATTGCTCTTTATTTCATAAATTACGGTTTCATATTTTTAATTGTATAATTTCTGCATGCCATCTTACTAAAACTTACTTGAAACATCTTACTTGAAATTTAAATTCATGATCTATAATAAAGAAAAACCCCTAATCCGGAATTGCCAAAGTCCCGACGAGTCCGGATTACGAACTTTGTACTGTATATGTTTTTTGCATCAATTAGCTATAAAAGTGCACATATTTTGCAGAAATTGAACTTTCGAGTCATTTATTCTCCCATCAATAAAATTCCAAGTTACATACTCAAGGACACCATTCCGGATATGAATTCCTGGGGTATTTATAGGATTCCTTGCCAGTGAGGTTTAATTTACATTGGCCAAACTAAGAGAGCCTTAAAATTTCACGTCAAGTAACATGAGGCATATGTTAGAAAAAAGAACACACAGAAGTCTTCTGTTGCCCAACATTGTCAGTCTGAAAACAACACTTTCAATTTTTCTGCTGCCAAAATTATTCAAAAAACATCTTCCATTGGAGAACTGGATTTTCTAGAGGCATTTCATATTCAAAAAAATCTTTCTGTTCTAGTTAACGATCCTAATTCCAATCCATTATTGCCTTCAGCCTTTAAAAAAATTATGCTTTAGTTCTGGTTTCATCAACAGATGGTGCCACTAGCTTATTTTCTGTCCAGGCTTTCTTATCTTATCTGATCATTAGATCCTATCTCATTCATTTGTGCTTTTGCAGCTGATGATGGTGGTTCAGTAAAACCATTGAAACTAGTCCTGTGAAAATTTGAAAATATAACGCTGATTTTTGTTGTTTGACTTCTGAATTAGCTAATGGTTATTGGAATTTTGCATGCACTAAAATGTATATTGTAAAAGAGCTTTTTAAAATTCACTGTAACAGTAAGACCATCCATGAATTCTAGAATTATAAAAGCTGATGTATAGGGCATTGCAAGACCACAAGAGGATGTGTTTGTAGAGACTTTTAAAAATGCTTGGCATAATATATAGACAGCTACCAAATTTAATAATGATAATGAAATCCACAAATCTGAATGGGTTTTGGATGTCATACGTAAAAAGTGAAATTTTCCAATTAATGGAATACGAAAAGAAATGCTAAATGCAAGATAATACAACTGAAATCTTGCATTATGATGACAATGCCTCAAATAATTCCTGCGGTTGTGATCCATAATGTGGGGGAAAAAATTTTTACACAAAAAATCGTTTCCTAACAGAAATATTAGTAAAGAATATTTTTAATTTTATAATTTCTACATGTCATCATATTAGATTTTAACAGATGATCTAAAATCTCAAATAAACTCCCAACAATCCTTTGTAATGTATTACATTTTCAGATAATTATTAGCAGTAACAAACTCTAATGTTTGAAACAGCACTTTTTTTTTAATCAGAAGTAAAACATCAGTATTTCTATAACAAGATAAAAGTTTGGTAACTAGATATGAATTCAGTCAGTAGAAAAATACTATAAATTTCACTGTTTTGTTACAAAAATAAGGAAAATTTTATTGTTCAATGACATAGTAAATACAATACCTTCTCTGATTCTTTATTGAATAATGCAGAATCCAGGGCATTTACTTCACAGCTCTCTTTCATGCAGGGGTTAACATTCTGAGAAACTAAAATATTTAAATTTTACTTTCTAATTTAAAAAATCACCATTTTACATCAAAAACTTATCAAAAATTAAAATCACTACAGTATAAAATCCCATACTAGTTTTCTCAAATATTAATTACATACAACCTTAATAACATACCATAAAGATCAAAATATAATGATAATGATAGTAATTATAAGGCACATTATTATACTGGAAGACAAATACATACATCCACAAAAATCCTTACTCAGCTTGATTTTCACAACCACTGGTTATAAACTTCCAGTAATAAAAAATGTTTTGAATGATCCAAATGTTCATGTTTTTGTGTGTTTAAATTTTAAAAAAATCAATTGTGTAAAAATCATAGAACATAACTTTTTATATATTCCTCCTGTCCTTATATTTGCAAAATTTTGTTCCCATTATACAGGATATATATATATATTTTTACATTTACGTTGGACGACTGGGTATGGTGGGCGTTGGTTGTACTGAGCTGCTTTGTTCTGCCATTTCACATCACGCTCCAGTACTGCCTTGCTATTTTCATTAAGCAGGAATAAAATACATATTTTCTTTTACAATTGCAGAATTACCCAAAGCCTCTGCTTCAGGCATTAGTGAGGTGCACCTGTAGTTTTTTACTCTTCCTTTTTTTTATTTTGAAGTTATCTCGTTCAATTTAGGAATTTTTTTTTTCATTTAAAGTTCATTAAAAGTTAGACAATATTAACATTTGTGTTTCTTATTGACAAGCTAGTTATCTCAAAAAGTGCCAATATGTTTTGACAACAAAGGAAATTAGAGAGTTTCAGATAGTACACATGATGAGCTTTATAAATCAGGAACGTTTTAAAGTTTCAACTTCGGATTCAAAAGTGTAGTCTTTAAATATTTTTAACCCTTTAGCTTTACACAAAATTTCATAATGTAAATGATTGTACTCTAAATACTTTAAAATTTTATATGAGTAATGTTTAAAAGATGAAGAAAAGAATGAACCATTTATGCAAGTGTTGACTCCTTGCTTTCTAAATTCCTAATAGCACAATTTGTAAATTAACCTAAACTTTGAAAATGTTTTTGTTTGTTATAAATTTAATGTTTATGAATTTTTAAACTGAGCTATGAAACTGAAAATGATTGATTCTCAAATGCAAATTATAAGCATTGTTGCATAAGTTACAAAATAAAAATAAGTTGATTTAAATTTGAGTTATGTTTTACAGAAGAGATATTTTGCTAACTTTTCAATCTAAAAAGTTTTTAAATATCAACATTTGTATATATGTATCCTATTCTCTTCCAGATTTTTAATAATGCTATAATATATATAATACACAAAATGAATTTCAAATAATTAAAAAATTGTTCTGCACAAATGTTGAAACACATAGAAGCCACACAGAAATCTAATAATGTTAAAATTTTTTAAGTAATCTACTTAATTTTTTTTCTTACTTATTTCCTTGATTCTAGACAATAGTATCTTAAAGTTTTCCTCTGAAAATGGTTGACCATTATGATTAATGTCAGCACATTCATGAATCTCATTTTTGTCAATCTATAAAAATAAAAGTAATCATTTTAAAACAACACAAGTATTTCATTCTTTCCCAATTACTGTGATATTTAATAGCATCTATTACCTTTACTGAAGAAATAATTCCTCGCATCTCAGATCGAATATATTCCAGGCAATGGTGATATTCTTTGATTTCTTTCAACATTTCTTTAACACGATTTTCATAGCTAGATATCACAGAATTATACATTTCTTCTAAACACCTGAGAAAAATAATAAAGTTATTCTTTTTTTATATTTCTTTTCACTATTATTTTTATCAGATTAAAATTTCAGCCATTTTGTGTAACATTTTTATAAATGATGAAGACTTGCATAAATCTCAAGATAATATTACAAGTATTCCTAGAGTTCAATTATACATTAATTAATCATAAATGATAACATACAATTCCCAAAATATAATAATTTTATAGCATTTCATATCACCAAAGTGATGTATCAAAATGCTTTTCAAAAATTATAGAATAACAATATTTTTTAATAAACTTGTATTTTCAAGTTGTAAAATATTCTTATTTAATTGTATTTCTTTTAAAAACCAAACCACATATGCTTTATTCATAAATTTAGCATTATTCCAGTTTTAAATCAAAATAAAAAGCGAAGTCAAATTTTAAGCTATAATTATCTGCCATTGAATAATACTTTTGGTTTCCCTCACAAATTTCTTACTGAAGAATGCATTTTCCCACTTCCTGAATTTTACAATCTCCAAGATATTACCAAAAAAAGTGTCACTGATTTACTCTTTCTTATACTGTTACGGATTTGGTATTTAAATAGCTAATGTTAGCTGAATTATAAATTAAATTGCTTTATTCCCAGTGCAGTGCAGCGCGTGACGAATAAAGGAAAGCTAAGCCGTAAAGTTAAAAATACAAGAACACGTGCATTTAACATTTAATAAATAAATATCTCTTTTTGATTTCAAGAAAGTTCCAGAAAATTCTCGCGCACGATGTAAAAATCTTATAAGAAGGAGGAGGAAAACCTCTCAATTTGGCGATTTTAGTTTGTTGTTGCTTTAAGAGTTTGTTTAGGAAACTGCTCTTGTTGACTGTAGCGAATTCGCAGATTAGCTTTCTTTAGCTGTTTTGAATTAAGTTCTCTTAAACGTTTCAGTAGTTAAAAGATAACTACTGTGAGATATTGTAATACTTCACGAATATCTGAGGAGATTTAAGCATTTTTGTTGTGATAATAATAAATTTTGTTCATTTTTCATTGGACTTGTGCATTCATTTCATAACGAAACCGTACGCACGCAACAATACTTTACCTGATTTCGGGATATTGTTATAGCATGAATTTGATTGCAAGATAGTTTATTTTACTTTTTATTCAATGATGTACTGTTAAATTTTATTAGTCAGACATACTTGACAATGAAATCATCCAATGAAACCACACAAAGTGTTAGGAAGATTGAAAACAACAGAGCTCCTAGAACTTATGAACATAATATATGTCTTAGGTGAACAGAAAGAAAATTTTAAAATAGACATCTGTTTTTAGTAATACCTTTAGTCAGGTAAAATCGATCATAATATTTGAGCTTTCTGATCTAGCACCTGGTACAATATTCTTATTCAAGTCAGTAAAAATAGTAAAACAGTTTAACAAAGCATACAAGTTACACATTATAGTAAAACACATAATGAAATGCTAGATGCTTATTTAAGATTTCTAAGCCAATGGTTTAAAAAAAAGCTAAGAAAAAAGGCAGCTGAATTTCATACATCTTTAGTAGGTGGTACTCAATATATACATAGAAGGGTTGCACAAATGAAAAGTGGACATGTGCAATTGCATCAGAATGATTACAACTATGGCAGCACCACCAAATAGGGATATAAAAGGGTGGTAGGGGGTGTGCACCACATATGGTGTTCAACAGCGAAACCTATTCACAGCAGACGAAATTGATTGAAAGTAAAGTCGTTCTATGCATAGCTGTGTCTAGATTGGAACAATGTTCAGGAGAGCGGTTTCTGACCGCAGGAAGGTGAGCGTAACGTTGACATCTATCGGTGAATAAGGGCAGTCTAGGCGAGCACTGTTTAGGTAAAATGGCTGTGAAAAACTGGTGTTTAAGTTTTCATGAAGGGAGACAAATGATATCATATCTGTCAAGACCATGTCAAGCAAACACTTGTGATCACCAATGACTCCACTGCTGCTGTTGATGAAACGATTGGAGCTAATTGGTGAGTCTGGACCTGCGATATCAGTGATGAACTCAGCCTGAGTAAAGGAATGGTTCCCACCATCATTCACCAGCGTCTACAGTACAGTAAAGTGTATGTGGAATGGGTACCAAAACACCTTACCCTTTATCATGAAAACCAGCGAATGGGCCTCGGTTTCCAGCACTTGATTCCATTATGAGGATGATCACACATTCCTGGAACACATCCTTGCAGATGAGGAGTCTTATGTCATCACTACATACCCAAATCCAAGAAAACAAGCATGTAATGCAAGCACAATCAATTCCTCCACCAAAAAAATTGACAGCAATAACGAATGCATGGAAAGTGATGCTTTCATTTTTTGTTGATTGCCGTGAGCCATTCTTGTTTGATTTCCTGCCACAACGAAGCAGTATCACTTCAACATAATACTACAGTACTCTGACAAAAGTACAGAAAGCAATCAATGGCAAACTGCCAGACTTTTTCAAACAAAAAGTGATCCTTTTCCATGACAATGCCTGCCTACATGTCTCGCATGAAATCCAGATGAGCTTAAACAAATTCCATTGGAAAATGTTGGAACACATGCTGTACAGCCTCGATTTGTCAGCATGTGACTTTCACATCATTTGGTCATTAAAAGAGCATTACAGGGAAAACTATTTTATTTAAACGATAATGTGAAGGAAGCTATGCAGAACTTCCTCAAGAATCAACCACATTCTTTCTACAGCAAAAGCATAGACCTGCTGCCAAAACAATGTGACCTGTATTATAATGTCCATGGCAATTTCTTTAGATTTCCAATAAAGGTATTCATTTTATTCAACTTGCCCACTTTCAACCATATGATGGTTTTATACGGGCAACCATATGATGGTTTCTCACGTTGTACCTGATATATATATCAGGTACAACATAAAATATTATGAAATGGCAATTTTTTTTGGGGGGGAAAGCAAGGTTAAACCCATTTTAAGGAAAGGAATTAATCTATGAAATTTCTTTCAAAGCGTAAAAGGCACAGCTTTTGTAGCTTCAAAGAAAAGATTTGTAAAGTAATTTCTTAATTTAAATCTTTAATGGTTATTTATTATATTTATAATTAGACAGCAAGCAAAGAATGTTTACTTAGTAGCTGAGCACAGCAATGGATGAATGAATAAGACCAATGAACATGGTAATTCAATTCCATGCAAATAATTTGGATGCTTGGGATCTTTAGGTATCCCGATGTGTAATGTAAATGTAAATCAGTCTTCCTCGAGGAATATACCCCTCTTTTAAGAACATACCTATTTACACTTTGCCTTAATTGATTAAACAATGATAACTGAAATTCTCCATATTACAGAATAAAATATGTAAAAAAAATTAATTAAATCCGTCAAAAAGTTAATTTTTTTTTTAACTAACATAACATTTCTTGGTTGTATGCAATTAAAAATATTATCATGGAGCTGCAAACAATAACTGATTTTAAATAAAAATCGCCAAACATAATTTTAAATAAACTGAAAGCAATCATTTTTAGAAATGCCATTATAATTATTGCTTTTATTATGCTTTGAATTATTTCTACAATTTTAATAGAATTTAAGTAATGAAGTTTTGTGATGTCATATTTAGTTACATAACATTATGAGAAATTACTTTTTATTTTCAGCGCATTTTAATTTAAAACTGTGAAATTTAAAAAGGTTCTTTATGCATTTCATTTTATAAGACAGACTCTACAGAATACAGGCAAATTATAAAGAAAATCACAATCTTTAAAAGCAAGAAAATTATTTCTTCTGACATAAGATTACATTCAGTTCATTTAAATTTCTGCTTCATTTGGAAATCTGATTTGTAAGTAAAATTTTGTTTGTACTTATTGTGAACAGAGCTCCCAATAAAAATCGAAGACCCTAACAAAATAGCAGAAATCAATGAAAGCCTTTTTATAAAGCGTAAATTGAACAGGTCGAATACTGATTGTTAATAAATAAAGAGGAATCAGTTCAGTTCAGTTCATTCAAAATACTGTAGAACGACTAGTGCAGCTTTCAGTCACTTTCAAGTAGTTTAATACATAATTTTAGGATAACTTTTCAATAGGATAATATGCAACTTTAGAACTTTTTCAGTAATATTTTAAATGGGATCCTATGAATAGAATTTTAAAGTGAAACCTAAACTGGAAAAAGGAGGGGGGTCTTCATGGAAATCTTTTAAACGGATTCTGACGATACCAAACAGCATATTCAAGATAGAGAGCACAAAAGTTTACCAAAAATTTACGTCTAATCATGATTATATCAACATTATCTTCTAAAAATGGAACTACCTGAGCACATTGTATATGCAGACACAGTTTTAATTTATCAAAATAAAAACAATCTGACAGGAGTTCTTTATTTAACATTTCACAACAATATGACCAAAAAGATGAATAAAAGAAACAGAGCCACTCACGACTTTGCAGCAGATTCTGTTTTCCATTTTCCTCTTTGCTTATCACTTTTAGGCAAATTCGGTGAAATAATACTTGCTATAAAAATAAAGTATTTTTATTTATCAGGAAATGCTACATATTATGAGATATTAAAAAAAATTATTTTTCACATTACGGTAGTAAACACAAAAAACTTACAATGCTGAAAAACTATTAATGCCAAATATCATCTATATGCATTACATATGTGTATGTTTTAACAAACAAGAAAGTTATAATATCAGTATACAAATACAGCCATAAATTTTATTTATGTGTATAGCCAGCAATTGTTACTTTTGATAAAAATTACATCACTGAAATATAGAGAAATTAAAAAAAAATTCTTTTAAGTTAGAAAATAATGCTAGCATCACAGAAATAAAATATCAGCATGAAAAATCACATTAAAAATTTTAATGTAGCATAATAATTTTTTTCAGCAAATAATCAAAAAAAGTAAAATATAACTAATTTAATTAAATTGCTATTAAAATATAACAGATATACCAATAAATTATTAATTAATTAAAATGAAATACTTTGATATAAAATTTAACACTAGAATTACGGGAACAGTCATTTTGACTGTATCTGCATTTTAATTGGATATAACTTTTTTTAATTCTTTACTTATAGCTTTGATATTGTCTGACTTTTTCTAAAAACTTAAGAATATTATATGATATTATTTTTATTCATTTTAAGTAATTACTTTCGACAATATTATCACTTATATCTAGAATTACAGTTATCGGTCATTTTGACCATATCCAGAAAATTATAGATTTCTCAACATTTTTATGACTTTTTTAGCTATTTCTGGTTTGTTGATAGATAAAAAAGTGTTATTTTTGGTAAGGAAGATTGCATATTTCTCAGAAGTGAGTGGGGAGCAGAGGAGGGATGGAATTAGAACACCTGCTTGGAATTAATTCTTGCATGCCACGTGTCTGTGCATTTTTGCTTTTGTTAGAAAGTTTATTTTTCAATAAACACAAATGCATTTTACTTCATTTGGATAGTTTTGTTGTTCTGACCTGTTTATCATGTCACATAGAAGCGATGGTGAAAATAGCTAACAAAGGAAGAGATGCTGAAAGTTTTTTAAAGTCTTTCTGATGATAATTCTACTCCAGAAACTGAACCTGATGAAGAATTTCATACCAAAATTACATCCAGTTTATCAGACAAGGACTGGATTGTTTTGACTGAAACAAGTGAATCCAATTTGTCTGATGGAGAACCTGTTCATGAAACAGAAAAGGAAAGTAAAAATTTAGATCAAGATACTAAAGATTGAAAAATGATCCATTTTCCTTTGTTTCAGATATTTAGAATGCTTTTATAGAAAACTGCTTGAAATGTTATAAGCTGGGAAAAAATATAACAGTGAATGAACAATTATACACCATGAAGATCCAATGCCGATTTATTCAGTGTATGCCTAAAACGCTGGACAAATTCGGCATTAAAATTTGGCTTGCTACAGATGTGCAGTCAAAATATTTACTGAATGGATTTCTCTACTTAGAAGAAGACTAAACAAGAACAGCTGGAGAAACAGTAAGTGAACATGCAGCATTTCATTTGATGGAACTGCTGAAATTAGTAAAAGAAATGAGGAATTCAGAGATAATCAGCATTGGCCCAATAAATTGTTCAAAAAGAGAAGTACGTACCTTATTCTTTCAAATCTACAAGGGATGAGCTCTGTTTTAGCAAGATTGCTAAGCATGACAATATAATGCTTATGTATTATCAGGGGGGGAAAAGGATATCCTGCTCTTGAGTACCATGCACCCAACATTAGAAATCGCATCTGATTAAAAAAATACACCAAAAGTTGTGAATTTTTACAAGTTAGCCAAATATGGAAATGATATTTCGGACCCAATGCCCAGAGAATACTCAGTGAAGTCCTCTTCCAGCCGTTGGCTAGTTCAAGTTTCTTTTAAAATATTCTTGATTTGGCTGTAATAAATGCATTCATAATTTATAGGGAAAAAACTGAATATAAGAATATCAGCCATCATGATTTTATTTTGAATATGGCTGAGGAGCTTCGAAACATGCACATTTTATTCAAAATTCACACACTTTCTGTTATATAACAAAAAGAGAATTGGTACTTGCGCCAACCCTCCTGTAAGCATAAACAATGCCAAATAAATGCATGCAGAGGCAACAAAACTTTGACTATAATAAATATATTTGTGGAAACTGTACTGGCAAAGTTACAAAATTAGTAAAACCTGTATGCAGTGCACAGCCGAGTAATGTAAATACTAATATGTGCAATTTTTTACATATTTATTTCATACTCAAAATTTTCTGAGGCAATTTAATAAATGATGTAATGAGTACTCATATTAAACAATACATATTAGTTTTCAGTTCATAACACTTCATCATCTAACTATAGTCATCTTTCAGGGTAGCTTCAGAGAATCAAAAAAGGAAAACCTGACAATGAGAGATCTAGATTGCAAAGCTGAGGTTCTCTTTTTAAAGTTATCTAACTTCTGCTTTTCAGATCTGGCAACATGAAGGCATTCTATTGCTTGGATGACACCCTTTACAAAAGTTACCACAACATTTTTATTAATTTCATGTCTCAGTTGAAGGACTAGCAGCAGAAGTCATTTGCCATCTTAATGTTTCCCAAAGGCAGAAAAAGAATAACTTCCATTATTTTGCTTTGGACACTCATAGTACCAGTGAGTATTATGTGTTCCACATTCAGCTCTGACATAATTCAATGCATGCGAACTAGTCATATGTTTTCATGATAACCTTTATTTTGGCTCTAAAAGCATACTGCATACACCAAGGATTCTCAACTACTGGTCAGGTGGTTCAGCATTGGTTTACGGAAAAATGTCAGTCCTTGGAGATTTATACCTGAAATCTTGAAATTTACCTTGAATTTTTATTTTGAGAAACCAGTTCTTTGAGACTTTTACCTGTCCATGCAAAAAATGTTTTCTTATTTAAAATATGATAGTAATAAGATTTTTTATGATATTTTTTACTTTAACGCCATCATTTTGAGATCTAGCATTCATAATTTTGTCTTCAAAGATTGGCAACACTAGAATGCATTCACATTTTTCATATGTTATGTTCACCGGTCTGCAAAATGTTTTCACAAATTTTACCAGTCCATGAGGTTGAGAAACGTTGCTGTAGACTTCTAACTAAACAAGGTAATAGTGGAGATTTACACCCAAGAATAAATTAAAATCATGTTTAATGTGATAGCAATTTAAAAATACACAGGAATAATAATACTCTATATTATTAACAATATACCTGCATTTTTAAAGTAGCTTGATTTGGAGAATATATTCATTTGGTTACATTAATTAAATCAACATTTGAAACATACAGAATATGCTTAAAAATAAATAAAATAAACATCACTTTTGTCTAAATTACTTTTGACTTTTTATTTTATTAACAATCAACTAAAAACAGAAGGTACGCTTAAATTGGCACCTGTATAATGGGTGCACTATATATATAATGCTCCCATATAGAGCATTTCCTCCCTTTAAAAAAAAAAAAAAAAAAAAAAAAAAATATATATATATTATATATATATATATATAATGAATTAAAATACAAATTTAATTAATTCTTTGCGCCATTGCTGCAAGGAATGAAATTTAAAATACGTAAAAAAGCAAATTTAAAGTTAAAATAATTAAAATGTGCAAACATTTTAATTATTTTAACTTGACACAAATTTAATTAATTTAATTAACACCCCTTGATAAGTCTGTCTCCTGCCTGCTCAAATGTCATTCATTCACTTATGCATTTTTTAAGGAATTTTTTAGATTAATTTAATTTGCTAAATTGGTGAATTTATTTTCATGGTTTGGTTTTGCACTTGTTTTGCTTATGCTATCTGAATATAAATGATACTGTAGATTAGTTGGAAAATTATAAATCTTTTATATGTTTGCACATTTTAATTATTTTAACTTTAAATTTGCTTTTTTACGTATATACATATTTGTTAAAATTAAATTTTATATATATATAGCTAAAATAACACTGTTTGAAATCTCAATCAAATGAACTTTCATAGTCTACAGTAACAGAAAATTACATGCATAATTTGCTACGTAGGTTTTAAAATGATATCAGAACTGTACATTAAAAGATGCAAAACATCTATAAAATACAATTTTGAATGGGAACACCCAAATTTAAATAACACCATGAGCTTTCTTGGTAGTAAATTGCTCTAATGCAGTATTCCTACTCAGAGGTCTTGGCAAACCATGGCCAAACGGTTGGTAGTCGTAACCACAGTCACTTACAGTTTGCCTGACATGAGAACATGAGGGTGACCATTTTGTCACAGATAAGTTTTTCTGAGACATTAAGCTCAAAAGAAATATCACAGGTAATCAGTTCCACGTAGAGATTTTTTAATAGAGCCCCATAAATATTTAATCGAGTTTGCATAAGCCCTAAAAATGGTTCCTTAAATGCCATACTATGACCGACTGAAAGGCATATAAAACCTTCATCTTGAAAAATGTCAATTAAATGACTTCCTGCTGTCTGATATAATTATAAAATCCCTTTTCCTATAATTATATAACCCCCTATTTAACACTAGCCATTCCTAAGGACAGAAGTGGTGGCCATTTTATTATGGAGGCACACAATAGGTGGCCATTGTTGCCTCCTATGAAGGAAGGGACAGTTACAATCCTGCCTTTTCCTCAATTCAAACTGGGCCCTTTGGTACCACAGTAGGCTCCCTTAACCACTATATACCATCTGGATGGCAATTATACACTCTGTCACAAATATATTGGGACAGTCCATAAATTAGTGTGCATTTTTTGGTAAATTTTTAAATAATATAAAAAAACACAATTTAACATTTTAATCAATTATATATTTTTCCTCCATTACCTACAATGTCTTGCCATCTTACAGGCAGCTTTTTTATGCCACTGCTGTAGAAAGACTTTGGTTTTGATGCAAAAAAACTTGAAAGTTCATTGTGTACATCCTGTTTAGAATTTAAT